TTGAATGGTTAAGGAGATATAATTTTCTGCTCTCCTGTGTATGCCAGCTAGGGGGTGTAATATACTAGGTGATTTGTCTTGACGTGAGCCACCGAATATGTGCTCCATGTTTGTGTAAGTCTTTCATAATCTAAGATATGTAATCATAGGGGAAAATGTATGTTGAATGTGGTGTCTGGTTTATGACTTATCTGGAATGTCTTTGAACTCAGTGAAGGACTTGGTATATGGTTTTACGATAACCCAGATTGAGAAGTTAACAGACAGCTAGGCCCCACCCTGGTTGGAATTTTATAGCCCTTAAGCTCTCCCACTGGGGCCTGTTGCCTTTTTAACACAGATCACATTCCTGAGGGAGGGGGGAAATCGGAGGAGGGAGACTGACTTGGGAGTACAGAGATACAATATGGAAGATTCTTAACAAGATGGATGACCGCGTCCATCTAGGTGTGCACGATTGCTACAACCATTTCTCCACCAGCATGGATCCGGGTCACAATTTAACCTTCCATGTTAAGTATATGTAAGCCTAGGACTGGACATGTGTTAGCACCACAGAGCACATCACCCTCTCCGTATCTAGATAATATAGGTTGGAGGTGTTCTGTAGTCTTAAAGGCAAAACTTTTTTTTTATTAGTTTTGGATAGAGTGGAGAGGGATTTGAACACCTGTCAGGTTCACTTTGGAGGGATTTCCTCTCACTTCCCATTTTGGCTATTGGACAAGGGGACAAGGGAAATCTCCCAATGACAGGGGTGACAAGGGTTAACAGTGGTTATAACCCTCCCTTACTCTATCCAAAATTTAAAAAAAAAAAAGTTCTGCCTTTAGTTCTGCGTATCATCTTCCTGATAACATTGTTCAAGTTAGGGCTACAGAGTGCAAAAGACAACACTGAATTTCTGGCAGGTTCAATAGGTATATTTTTTGCATATATAAAACATAAAATCAAAATGCTTTTTTTATTTTTGTTAAGCTGAAATCCAGGCACAGAAAAACTCTCATGTAAATATTTTACTCAATAGTCAGAAAAGATATAAATCCATTTTTGAAAACACAATTATTTCCTTGTAAAAGTAGCAGTGACATCAACTGTGCTATACATAGCCTATGCAGAGAGCAGAGGTGTGGGAGGGACTCAGCAGGCTCCACCCACTACAAGATGACTGCAGAGAACTACAGGAGGGGGTGGAGACTAGACCAGTCACCCTGCACATGAATAGGGAACAGCAGTGAGCGGTCTTTATTACAGGAAGCTCCTGCACAGAGGGAAGGTCTCACACTGGATTACTGCACAGATCTGGAAGAAAAACACAAAGCACACCAAGATTCCAGGAAGAATACCCAAGACTCTTATATTTAACATTTGCTTATCTCAGCTTTGAAAGAGTAATATGGAGCAAAAAAGGAGATGTTTATTGTTAGGGTTCATATACATTTTAACACATGAAAAACACAAACACTTTTATTTAATGCAGTGCAAGATTGGTGCACTGTGGGGGCCTGGAGTGCAACGGCATTGCTTGATTCTATAGTAGTTGGTTAAGGTGACATTCAAAACAAATGGAATTGCAATTTACCACACTTTGGATTGTGCATTGACATACCGAACATATGGTAACGGTTTGCTGCTGTTCAGTTTTTGCTGTTTGTGCCCTGTTGGTGAAATTTGGGAAAATGGAGAATTAGTGGGGATCCCTTAAGGTTATCCAATTGGTGTTGCTATCCAATAGTATTGTAATGATGTTGGTGTAAGTGATCCGGATAATAGGCAGGCAGATTCTATACCCCAGCAGATCTCCTCAATTGTCTCAATTTCTAGTGCAGTAAACCAGAAGGAGAATACAAGCTCCACACTACTGATCAATAGTTAAGATACAGTTATATTCCAGTAAGGGTCAAAGGGACTATGAAAGAAGTAGCCAATGTGCTTTGGGGGGTCCAAAAATACCTGACCGGCACACCTTCTGCTGACGAGATCTTTGTAAATGATCACACTGGACAAAATATTATCCAAGTTTCAGTCCTGATTTCCTATTAAAGTCCCCAAAATGCATTGCGTTCTTTTATTGCCTGTTGAAACTTTCTGAAATAAAACTGTATCTGGACTAATGGACAGTGGTGCGGTGCTTCAATTCTTCTTGCTGTTATGGAAGCTGTACACTTTTCCGTTTTAATATCCAATAGATGTTTGATCCATCAGGGCAATCAAATCTGCAAACAATTGGATTTCAATCTGTTTATTATTTTTTTATAATATAGAAATCATACAAGCTGAGGTAGAACACATGACTACCATAACATTAGTGGGGTTTCCATATAAGAATTATCAAGGAGCATTACAATCAAAGTCAAGTTACATATCTGTGTAAACAGTGACAGAGGATATCATCAATTAACTTGGATAAGATAATATTGACAATATGGCCCCACATTAACGCTTGATATAGAGTCATTGGATACTATATAGTTCTCATCAATTTGGAAGAGAAAGTATAAAGGGTATCCAATGTAAATCTGCAAACTATTAAATAGTCATAACTACCGTTTTGACCGATTTAAACTTGAATTAGACCAGATTCAATGAAATTGAGTAGATCACCCACATGGAAGAAATATATATTTGAAATATAATTTAAAAATATTCTTCCCAAATATATTGCCATATATATATATATATATATATATATATATAATATACTACAAATTTTTTGGCCATATTCAATATATTTATATATATATATATATATATATATATATATATATATATATATATATATATATATATATATGCACTGCATTTGAAATGTGTTTTTATTATTATAAATAGAAGAAAAATATATTTCAAATATATTTAAAAATACTCTTCCCAAATATATTGGCATATATTTGGAATACTACAATTTTATATATAAAATTATATAAATATATATATATATATATATATATATATATATATATATATATATATATACTGCATGTTGAAATGTGTTTCAAAATATATGAAAAATATTTTTTAAAATAAATTTCAAATGAACTGTATGTCTTTAAAAATACAAATCTACATTTTTTTTGAATGCATTTACAAATATATGTAAAATTATATGTTAAAATTACTTTGTTATATGTTAAAAAAAAATCTGAAGAATATATTTAAAAAATATATATTTTTTAAATATATTCTTCAGATTTTTTTACATCTATTTTTACATATGTTTGTAAATGCATTCCAAAAATGTAGATTTGTATTTTTAAAGACATATAGTATATTTGAAATGTATTTTTTTAAATATTTGTCATATATTTTGTAATACAAAACATATTTCAACATGCAGCATATATATATATATTTATTGAAATATATATTGAAATATATTCAATATGGCCAAAATTGTAGTATTTCAAATGTATGGCAATATATTTGGGAATAATATTTTTTAAATATATTTCAAGTATATTTTTCTTCCTTATGGGCAGCAAGGACCAAAAAGTATCAATCATTTTGCATCAATCAGCAGCATCAAGATACGTTGTTCATGAATACAATGGTATTTTGATTGATGAGGTTATGATATTACATGGTGGAAACAGAGATGTGATAGATAACTTACAAGTTGTAATTGTATCTTAACTGCCGACATCACTATAGCAGAACTACTGCTACAGGGCGACAGAGCTGTGAAAAATCACGTATATATATATATATATATTATATATATATATGTATGTGATTTTGTATTTCCGGGTAGAGGGTACGCACGCTGCCACAGCTGTCAATCACTGGGTCCTGGCTAGAGATTCCCCGCCAGCACCCAGCGATCACCCAGGAACACTGACGAGAGAGAGGTCTGTATGTAAACAATACAGATCTCTCCCCCATCAGCACCAGCATGGTAGAGAAATATAAAACAGAATACCCCCTTAGTAAAACACACCCAGCACACAGTAAAACAGCACATAGTTAACCCTTTGATCGCCCCAGATGGTAAACCCTTTCTGCCCAGTGCCTTTAGTACAGTGTCAGTGCTTTGTATTAGCACTGATCACTGTATTAGAGTCACTGAGGATGTCAGTGACAGTTAGTTAGTTGCTCCCCCAGTGCCTCCTCATCAATGCCTACCAGTGCCGCCTCATCAGTGCTGCCTTATCAGTGCAGCCTATCAGTGCCCATCAGTGCTGCCTATCAGTGCCACTCATCAGTTCCCATCAGTGCTGCCTATCAGTGCAACCTCATCAATGCACATCAGTGAAGGAGAAAAATTACCTGTTTGCAAAATGTTATAATAATAGAAACAAGAAAACCTTTTTTTTTTTTCAAAATGTTTGCTTTTTTCATTTATAGTGCAAAAAATAAAACACCCAGTGGTAATTAAATACCACCACCAAAGAAAGCTCTATTTGTGTGAAAAAAATTTCATTTGGGTACAGTGTTGCATGATTGCGCAATTGTCATTCAAAGTACAACAGCGCTGAAATCTGAAAATTGACCTGGACAGGAAGGTGGTAAAAGTGCCCTTTAGGCAAGTGGCTAAGTATCAACTGAGATCTTTTTCCCCCATGTGCAACCTATAGGTTAGATTGGTTGTCAACTAGCGAAGAATTATTCCTATCGTAAGAGACTGAATAAGTAAAAATAAATCGATTCTGTCTTTATAACTATGCAATGTATTTTTTTTTTTTCATTTTTTTTTTGTTCAAAGATTAAGGATTATCTGTGATGGATATCTCTCATTTATGAATATGAAGTTCTGAAGAAGTGGTATTTACTAAAATGTATTGACTTGATTCATGTCAATAGCCATTTTAGCTTTTATATGTATTTTTGTATAATAATGAGACTTTGTATAATTTCTGTTTTGATATTTTATGAGATTTGTAATAAATTGGAAAGTTTTGATGTATGGTCAAAATACCGGTGGGTCATCCTAGAACACCCTTTAGGCTAGGTTCACATATGTGTGGGTGGTGCCGCTGCGGATTCGCACAAAAATCCGTGCAGCACCCACACAGAAGAGTGCGGACCCGCAGGCTGGTGCCATTAATTCTAATGGCACACCACCCGCACTGGAAATTGCAACCGTACTGGGAACCAGGGGCGGACTGACAACTCATGGGGCCCCTGGGCAATAGGGGATCATGGGGCCCCTGTGTCCTTGCCCAAACTCAAAAAAGCCTATGAAAAAGGTACCAGGGGCATCTCATGGGGCCCCCTACTGACCCCGGGCCCTCGGGCAGTTCCCTGCTGGGAACCGAGGTTTCCGTGCGGGCTGAGTTTTCAGAAGAAGTGCAGGGACTTCTTCCCTACGTGTCCCGGGGCACGGGAGTCCATTCAAATGAATGGGCTCTCGTGCCCACGCAAAACATGACCTGCAGGAACGCGGATATGTGAACCAAGGTAATGCTATGTTTTGATGTCCTATTGGAAGATTTCCCCTCTATTCCAGTTCTAGTGACATCTGTAACATATAGGGTTTTCCATCAATTTCTTTCTGGTGACAAAAGTCTACAGGACATATCAAGAAGGTTAATGTCTCCAAAGAGGACAATGTAAAACTTAAAGGGGTTCTAAACCTTCATTATCCCAAACAACAAAAAGTTATGGCAGGATATTTAATTCATGGAAAAAGATGGAGAGTCAGATCAGATGGCAGGTGTTGTGAGTCTGCATAACATTTAGAAAAGTTTCTGCATGAAAAGCTTCATTTGTGAAAGCATTGGAACACTAGAACGAGGCCTTTGAAGATGGCTAAATCAGGAAATTGGCTGTAAATAACTAGAATTGCACAGAAGGCTTTTATCACTATGTACTGGGACTCTGTTTAGTGAGCAAAGCAAGATTCCTTTTTTGCAACATTAATTACATTCACTCCAGTTCCACTTTAAGCTTTGTTACAAATTAAACTTGTGTCATTGCTACTTTTGCGGTACACAACGCTGAATGTGAGATCAAAGAGCCAATGTAAACTTTAATAGGCATCATTAATAAGCTGAACTATATACATATAGAGGACTAAAAACTCTATTGTAATAAAACCTTGTTGGTCAGTGTGTAAGCTAGGCTGGTACCTCATGTCCCTTTTTCTTTTCTGCCTCCACTTTACTATTGCCCAAGCTTCTCACCCAACCTATTCGCTCTTATAACTTTATAAGTGAGTTTGCACGCCTCTGAAACGCCTATATGGGAAATTTGCAGACCTGTTTTAGATGAGTTTTTGAGGCGTTCTTCCACAACTGCTTGCCTCTACATTCCCCATCCCCATCCACATCTCACTTTCATTTCTCTTCAGCTCTGACAGCTGCATGCAATCCCCCCTCCACTGTCCCCATCCCCCCCTTAAAAGCTCTGCCATCTTGCACATGTCTTACTTTTGTTACTGTATTAAGCTGAAGCACCCAGCCAGCTCTAGTACCTCCCCACACACCGTAGATGATTCCTCCTCTCTCACTTGGAGGGAGATCATCCAGTGGGGGTTTCGGCACCACACTGCACCCCGGGCACCTGCATCTCCCTTGTCCCCATCCTGCACTCAGTGGGAACTGCTCAGGAGATCGGATCTGAGGGAGCTGTTGGGAAACAAGCTATCACAAGTGTGGCACTAACCTCTTAGAAGTCACTGAGTTATTTTCGGGCTCCCTGTCGTTCTGGAGCCCTTTCTGAAAGCCCAACCCCTGCTGACACCACGGGGTTCTTTTGACCAGAGTAAATTACCACCAGAAAAAAGACTCACACACAAATTAGAGTAAACTGATATGAGGTTTATATTAAACTTCAATGTACGCTTGGTGAGACAGTACAAAATGGTATTAGTACGTGGAATGGCAAATATTACTCTTAGCAACTCTAAGCAAAGAAACACCACACAGCAGAATCTCAATCAGTGTTAGCAGGCTTGCTTTTAAGAAGTTAACCCAATACCTTCAACCTGAGGTGGTGTCAACCCCAGTGAGCAATGAAACCTAGCAACAGTAGAACTAGCTCACTTTGGGCCCTCAGAATCGGATGGCTTAAATCTGAGATAAGATCTGAGAGCTCTTTGACCAGGGTAGTCAATGTTCCTATAAATGCAGTGAGGATTCTTCTGCATGCTTGCTGGAACCCAGTTGGTGCATGAGTAATATGTAATATAGGTGACAGTTACAGGATTGACACAAGGGGAAGAAGAAAAAAGGACAAGTATTTTACCTTTAAGTGGCACTTGACTTGGGTGTTGTCCACTTTAATGCACTAAGTAAAGGGCAGCTTAAGGCAAATAAGGTGTCAAACTGGCAATAGCGCCTTTTGGCAAAGGGTAACTCCACTCTGGGCTGCAATAACCAATGACAATCATGGTAGAAGTTCCTTTAGGAGGGTAGACCATTGGTTAAGGGAGCACTGATGTGATCTGGACTGTACAAGGTGTGCACTGTGGTCAGCTCTGATGATTGGACTGTGCTGCAAATGTGTTAGTAGCGGCTATGGGAACTAGGCCGCAACATGTGTTAGCTGAATGTAATGTTTGTAACCAGGGGCGGACTGACAACTCATGGGGCCCCCGGGCAATAGGGGATCATGGGGCCCCTGTGTCCTTGCCCAAACTCAAAAAAGCCTATGAAAAAGGTACCAGGGGCATCTCATGGGGTCCCCTACTGACCCCGGGCCCTCGGGCAGTGCCCGAGTTTCCAAATGGTCAGTCCATCCCTGTTTGTAACTGTGTGCAGGTAAAGTAGAAGGCATGAGAAGAATGTCAGTGTTCTCTTGCTCAACTGGTGTATGGGACTCTCTCACCCGATTGGTGACTTCCAGAAGGTCCTGGCTCTCTCTCTCTGTCAGCGGATGAGGCCTCGACAGGTTCTCTGGCCTCACTTACAGCATTCCGAGCCAATCGGCAGACCATTTCCGGTCGTGCCCCTTTGACAGAAGCCGATCAAAAGGCCAGCTTTTGTCAGACCGGCAGCTGTACACACAGGTTGAATGTCAGACGGTTTCTATTGAATCAGCTGATGACACCCAGCATTCGGCCCATGTGTACTAGGATTAAGGGTCATCATACATGGTATAATCTGAGTGTACACTCTTTCCACAGTCAAGTATGGATTCACTAAAACAATGTAATATGAAGACCTACAGCTTGCACTACATAGTAGTTGGTAGACCTAAGGAGACCTAAGAAGATTGTACATTCAGATTGTAAAGTGTATTGTAAGCCTACAGAACATACACTTTGAGGATTGTAAGAAATGGGATAGTAAAGATGTTGGGTAAGAGGTTGGGACAGCAAAGAGGGGGAGGAGATAGGACAGTCACATCCATGAGCTGTCCAGGGATCCTGCACTGGACCAGCACATGGCTCTCCATCACACATCCCCCAAGCTTAGTCACCTCATAATGTAACTGATTTCTGCAAAAAATTATCTTTTTTTCTCCTATTGCTCCACACAGACCCTGAACCTGCAGTGAACAGTATTTTACACCAGCCCTCGCTGTTAAAGATCAAACACTTGAAAACTAGAAGAAATCCCAGCACGGCGCAGCCGGAATGACCCCTTTCCCAATATCAGAACATCTGGCATTCCGCGACCTCGCTGACCTTGAATACTCTATGTTTGCATCATATATTTGTATTTGTGAAATGCAATAAAACCCCAATGTTCTGCCATAACACCAAGATCTCATCCAGAACAACATACTTTGTCCGTTTCAGATTGACTTATATTTTTTTCTTCCCATAGACTAGACAACAAATCACATAATACTATCAGATGAGGGTTTAAAATACTAATAAAGATGAAAGATATTTCACTAAGAAAAGAAGCATCTGGTCACACTGCCTTAGGGTGTTATTGTCTGCTGCAGCGCATTCAGTTAGGAGCTCTCTCTGCCTCTCTCTCTCTTCGAATTCACTTAGTGCTTCATGGTTGTGTCTTCTTTTCTTCTAGTGGACAAACAGCCTCGTCCAGTTGTTTAGCTTCTTAAATCAGACATTCTTCTTTGAGCCACAAGTTGTACTTTTGTATTTGTATTTTTGGTTTGGGTGGTTATTTACCAACTGCTATAGTCTTCCTCTGTTGTATTTCAGTTTCACCTTTCACTTTTAATGTACATCTACACCTTCTGTTGATCTGTTGATAGTGAAGCATGCACTGCAATCACTTTTTATTCTTGAGTGCTAAGTAATACTAAATAATAATAAAAGTAAGTAACAAAAATAAGCATTGTTGTAACATTATGGTGACCCACCTAATATTGAGTAGATCCCGCTCTTGCACCCAAAACAGCCCTGGCCCATGAACAACACTGGACCTCTAAAGGCATACTGTGATATCTGGCACCAAGCCATCAGTAGAAGATATTTTACTTCTTGTTAGTTGCAAGGTGGGGCCTCCATGGATCGGACGTGCTTTTCTAGTACATTCCACAGATGCTCGATTGGATTGAAATCTGAGGAATCTGGAGGCAACGTCAATACCTCAATCTTATTGCGTTCCTCAAACCATTCTTGAACCATTTTTGCAGTATGGAAGGACGCAGCAGGAAGAAGCAAACAATAACCTGAAGTTGAAATTCAGACCTAGGCTGACTACAGCCAAGCATCACTAAATTTAGAATATGGATGCATCTGTTTTGAGATGGGTCACTACACAAGTCCTAAGAGGTAACTCTTTACCATGCAAGGTATGCTAATGGGTCCCCAGAGCAGTCCAAAGAAAGCATGAAGAATGAAAGCACCATGGGTCTATAAATCCTGTATAGATTTATTAATCTTGATAATGATTAATCCTCATGGGTTTACAACTTCCTGCTCACCAAGGCTGGTGGGGATACGAGAAAAATACTGGACAATGTGGGAAAAGTGCTAAATGGGGGGGGGGGGGGGACTCTGTCTACAGACTAAAAAAGAAAGGTTTTTTAATAATGTTATATTAGATTTTTTTATGCTATATCTATATTCAAAACTTTTTTTTTCAGTTTTGGATGGGGGAGGGGAGTAGTTATAACTATGGTCAGACCACTACTGCTGTCTGTTTCCCCAATGGGTGGAAAATCCACTGAAGCAAGAGGTGTGGGAAGCTTTTCAGATGGGGAAACCTGTTTCAGTGACACCTAACAGGGAATTTTCCCTCACTTTGGGGAAATTTCTTGTCACTTTCTTTTGGGTTTCTGAGACAGGAAACGGAGTGAAATCTCCCCTAAGGGGCACATACAGCAAAGAGAAAAGTAAGTTTAACCATATTTTAACCCCCACAAAGTTTGACAATAGATACACTTTAGGTGGCATGAACACAACCTGAAGACAATAAATATATATACACAATTGAAATATTACTTAATTATATATATATATATATATATATATATATATATATTTGCACTTAAGATCCATTAAATTACTGTTACATTATAAAAGTACATCTCTTTTCAATTAAGTCTAAAAGCACTTTCAACAGTCTTTTATAAATAGGCAAAAAAGCAAGAAAAAAAAATCAATAGCACGCTTTGAGTCAGTATTGTATCTCTCTAATGGAAAAAGCACAATGGTCCCAGCAAAATGCCTGCAGGGCCTTCATCTTTTCAGACACATTCGATGAGAAATTTTGCCAGTGCTCTGAAGCCTTTGATTTTTTTTCCTCTCTTTTTGTCCCACCGCAAGATATGTTCATCTCTGCTCATATTTTTTAGAGAGAATACTAAAGGCCTTTCTAATGAGATATAACAAGAAAGCCATGGAGTTGTGGCACATTGGCTGGAGTTTATACAAATATAACCAAAACCAAAAGAGTTAAACAATATTTGTTTGCACAACATACCCTTAGGTTGCTATGTTTAATTCCTAAAGTAGCATGTCCAGCTAGATTTCTAAGAAATCCTAGAAATCCTTGCCGAAAATTGTTACAGCACATCTAATTCTGTCATAAACCATTTCAATTGCACCTGATTGGAGCACTGTTAAATCATGTGACATTGATCACTACTAGCTTACTCAATAGGGACACATTTGTTCCATTTGTTTGCCAATCGATTGCCACTCCTTGCAATTTTAATAGCTACCAGGGATGTGGTTGTGAATTTGACCCAAACCCAGTCTAGTTATCAAACTGCTGAACAAACTGGCCATAAATGGCTAGATAGCATGGCCAAAACCCTGGACCAGAATAGAAACAGCTGGGGATCTTGGGTGTCTGTATTATAAAGGATTTACATAGCACCAACTGTTTGTGTGGAGTTTTACGATATAAAGGGAGACGATACAGTTGCAATACAATAAAATACAAGAGGGTTAAGAGGGTTCTGGTTATAGGAGCTTACAATCTAATAGGCTGGGGAAAGTGGTACAAAAAGTTATAACTGTGGGCGATGAGCTGATGGAAGTGATAAAAGTTCTGTTAGTTGAAGGTGTGATAGGCTTCCCTAGGGATGAGTTTTCAGGGACCACTTAAAGGCAACCAGAGTAGGAGATAGCCGGACAGACTGACATAATTAAGGAGGAGCCACACACGCCTGAGACGTCCCGCCACCGGATGAAGGAGGTTCCGGAGGCTTCCATAACTATCCAGCTGGTTAGTGTTCTGAATGGTTCATGAACGTTTTTGCTGCATGCTTTGTTTACATTTCATTGGCGAAGGCTTCCATTTACTTTTATGTATGCTCATTACTTTTAATAATGAAGTGATAAAAGTTCTGTTAGTTGAAGGTGTGATAGGCTTCCCTAGGGATGAGTTTTCAGGGACCACTTAAAGGCAACCAGAGTAGGAGATAGCCGGACAGACTGACATAATTAAGGAGGAGCCACACACGCCTGAGACGTCACACCACCGGATCAAGGAGGTCCGGTGGCTTCCATAACTATCCAGCTGGTTAGTGTTCTGAATGGTTCATGAACGTTTTTGCTGCATGCTTTGTTTACATTTCATTGGCGAAGGCTTCCATTTACTTTTATGTATGCTCATTACTTTTAATTATTAATAAATGAATCAACATTTTGACCTACTACACTATGGCCACTTTTCTCCCCCAGGACCATATGGTGACTACCCTGAGGCCCAGAGGAGAGTGACTCATGTATGCTGACCCCCATCGCAGCTTCCACCAGTAGAGAAGATCTCCAAGGGCGCCAGTATTGTGGGAAAGCCTGTCCAGTGTGAGCTGCACCTTCCACAGGATAAGAGGGGACCTCTGGCTCTTATTATTGCGCTTACTTATTGCGCATCTGGTGAGTGTGCATTTCTTGTATTTCCTGCACGGTTCTGACGAGTGCCTCACTGGGAGTAACAAAGTCACCATTTCATCCATTTGTCATTATTACTGGACATTGTTCCTTTGGACTCCATACTGTCTATTTGAGGGTGTGGCCAGCCTCTGATATAGTACAGACACATTGTTTATTAGCGCTGCACTTTTTCATATTGTATATACTAGAGAGGTTATATATGGTTTCCTTTAGTGTATCAGCTGCTTATGTTCTCATTATCTTAGCGCTCGCTGAACCACCATTATAGACTGACATAATTGACCAATGGTGGTCATGACTATATTTGGTCAAAGGCATCCCCCGGATGTCCTGTGCTCTGGAGTGCTGTAATACCAGGTGCAGCTTTAAGACCATTTCCCCCCATAAAACATTATTAAGGCTAGGTTCACATCTACAGGTGTGAAAGAGCATACACTCATTTTCATGCATTTCCCATGCTTCACATGTAAGGCAGCCCAGTCATTTTGATA